AAAAGGCCAGAGGTTTCAGTGGGGCAACGACCAAGAAGAGGCATTCAGAAAGCTCAAAGACATGCTATGTAGAGCCCCCATTTTGGCATACCCTATACCTGGTGGCAAGTTTGCTCTGGACACAGACGCAAGTGCGTGCGGCATCGGTGGCGTCCTTTCCCAGGCGGCGTCCTTTCCCACTACAGCCGGACATTGTCGAAGCCTGAGAGGAATTACTGTGTGACGAGGAGAGAGCAGCTTGCTGTCCTTGAGAGCGTTAAACACTACCACAAATACCTATATGACCAGCATTTTCTGCTGAGGACCGACCACGCTGCTCTCCAATGATTGTTGCAGTTTAAGAATCCGGAAGGTCAACTAGCCCTTTGGATTGAGAGGCTCCAGAGTTATAACTTCAGAATCGAGCACAGAAAAGGCGGAAAACACGGTAATGCTGATGCCCTGTCTCGTCGGCCATGCAAGGTAGAATGCATGGGGAAAGTGAGAACGGTAAATCTCACCGGAACTTGATCGTCGTCCCAGACTCCAAAATAAGAGATGTCTTGTAGGAGTTTCACTATGGGCCAAGTTGAGGACATCTTGGCATATCAAAAACCGCTAAAAAGGTAAAGCAGAGATTCTACTGGGTCTTCTGTCAAAAATCCATTGCCGACTGGATTGCCAATTGTGAAAGGTGCGTAAGAGCTAAAGGTCCAACACGGAAGAGTCGAGGCTACATGCAGCAGTATAATTCAGGAGCCCCTTTTGAAAGAATCGCAAAGGATGTAGCTGGACCGTTCCCAATAAGTGACTCTGGGAACCGGTATGTCTTAGTGGTCATGGATTACTTCAGCAAATGGCCAGAGGTTTATGCTATCCCAAATCAAGAAGCCAGGACAATTGTGGATGTGTTCAGCAAAAATTGGATTTGTCGCTATGGTGTTCCATCTGAGGTTCATTCCGATCAAGGTAGGAATTTTGAATCAGCGATCTTCAAGGAAATGTGTGACTCCTACGGAATCAAGAAAACCAGAACGACGCCCCTACATGCACAATCAGATGGCATGGTGGAAAGATTCAATCGCACCCTGGAAGAACATCTACGGAAAGTGGTGGACAGTGGCCAACGAGACTGGGATGAGCATATTAGAAAGTTTTTACTGGCTTATAGATCGGCCATTCATGATTCCACATCCCGGACCCCAGCCAAAGTTCTGTTCGGAAATGAATTAAAGCTACCTGGCGATTTGATATTCGGTGCTACCCCAAACGACGATGTGAACCAAGATGAAGACAGTCAAAACACTTTTAGTAAAGTCCACGATGCAGTCCGACATCGAATATAAATGGTTAGCAACCGCATGAAGGCAAGGTACGATCGAGCGGCAAATACCGATGGGTTTCAAGAAGGGCAACTGGTACTATTGTTCAATCCACAACGAAAAAAAGGACTATGTCCCAAATTGCAAACGCACTGGGAAGGACCCTACAAGATTGTCACGAAAATAAATGACGTCGTTTATCGCATCCAGAGCAGCGACAGTCCCAGGTCGAAGATGAAAGTTGTACATTTGGAGCGGCTGACCCCCTACGGAACGGGAACAGTGCCTATTCGGGACGAACAGGCTTAAGCGGCGGGCAATGTTACGAATATAACTCTAGATTTAAGTTAATTTAGATGAATTCCGTTAATTTAAGAATTTGAATTGTAACGTAAATTTCTACTACGTTTACGTTTATTCGAATAACTTCACAACAACAACTACTGTATAGATTTTTCTACATCCTTCCATTTCCTCTTTCATTGTCTATTTTGTTGTTGACGTACAATTTTGGTTAAACGTCATTATTGATGATCGATTAATTCCTCTTTCTTTGTTACTCCCTCGCCTGTATATGTGTTGTTGTTATTGTTCACTCAATGTAAGTTTGTATGTGTTTGTTGCATTGGTAGATTGTTCGTTATCTAGGTGTTACCAGATCGCCTATAAACTTCTGTAGCGAAAGGCAAGGCTCATATAAATAGGGGGAATGGCAAGGCAGTTAGTCAGTTGTGAATCAGATCGCGAATTGAAACCGTCAAGTAAAGTAAAGTGCAAAGTAAAGTTGTGTCAATAAAATCATTGTAATATTCGTAATCAGAAAGAACCCGCGTTTTATTTAGTACGAACTGTATTGGGAAATAAAACAACGTCTACACGGGATTAAGTAAAATCCAAGAACGTAACAATACATATATAGCCATTCCAGATTAAATGAAACCTTTTACAAATTAAATGAACCCTTTTCCAAATTAAATGAAACCTTTTCCAAATTATATGAAACCTTTTCCAAATTAAATGAAACCTTTTCCAATTGGAATGAAACTTTTTACAAATGGAATGAAACTTTTTCCAAATTAAATGAAACCTTTTCCAAATTAAATGAAACCTTTATTCTTATCCAAGGAAATATAATATTTCCAGTAATTTTAAATCAATATTTGAAAATTAAATCAAAGAATATTAACAAATATAGTTGGATGGCTATGTAATTACCATAAATATATTTAATTCGGTTTGATTTTATTTAATACCTTTACTACATAAAACTAAATAAATATTATTAAAATTAGGGTATTTCTTGACATTTTAATAAATAAATATTTTAGAACAAGAATTGAATACCCGGTCCTAAATGCGAAATACATATTTGACTTAATAAATTGTTGATGATAAGGTAAGAATTGAATACCCGGTCCTAAATGCGAAATACATATTTGACTTAATAAATTGTTGATGATAAGGTAACTGCTTATCAAAACCATGTCCATAACGTAGTTAGAATTATCTTGCCGAGTAAGCTGTTGAATACTTCGCTCGATTACATCAACAATGTTATGTTCCATTGAAACGTCACACAGTTCAGCTCTTGTACATAATTTTATGTTTGGAAATGCTTTTTCGATTGGATTTACCATTGGAGAATAAGGCGGTAAGAATTTAAGGTTGCATCTTTTGAATTCGATCAAATTTTTTATGTCATATCGCTTGTGTATTGGAGCGTTATCCATTATCAAGAACGAATTTTCCAACTCTCCGCGTTGTTTATTGCTGCAATTAGAGTGATATTACGACCTCTGACCGTAGGCAACACAATGTGTGCTCTTTTTTCTTGTCTTGAACGGGCTCGGGTTATTCGTAGGTGAAGATTAATTTTTCTCATTGTTGTGGTATCCATTTTGTAAAGTCTTGAGCATATTTTTGTCTCAAGCCTAATGTTCGTTCTATTTCAATAGAGGCCCTCTTCAACGTAATTTTTAATTTCCGTAATCCAATTTCTATGGAGTCTTTTGGAGAAAATCAATCCAGAGTTGGAAAATTCGTTCTTGATAATGGATAACGCTCCAATACACAAGCGATATGACATAAAAAATTTGATCGAATCCAAAAAAAGCAACCTTAAATTCTTACCGCCTTATTCTCCAATGGTAAATCCAATCGAAAAAGCTTTTCAAACATAAATGGTCTGTTCCCGTACTGCAAGAATCTACTAGATTTTACTATTTTCTTCGATAACATAAAGGAAAATTCGTTATCGTAGTAAAAAGTAGTAGATTGTTGCAGTACAGGAAGAGACCAAAAATTATGTACAAGAGCTGAACTGTGTGACGTTTCAATGGAACATAACATTGTTGATGTAATCGAGCGAAGTATTCAACAGCTTACTCGGCAAGATAATTCTAACTACGTTATGGACATGGTTTTGAAAATCCCACAAGCTGCAAGTCGGGAACCCCTTCATTAAGATAAGCAGTTACCTTATCATCAACAATTTATTAAGTCAAATATGTATTTCGCATTTAGGACCGGGTATTCAATTCCTGGTTTAAAATATTTATTTATTAAAATGTCAAAAAATACCCAGTTTTATGTAGTAAAGGTATTAAATAAAATCGAACCGAATTAAGTATATTTATGTTAATTACATAGCCATCCAACTATATTTGTTAATATTCTTTGATTTAATTTTCAAATATTGATTTAAAATTACTGGAAATATTATATTTGATTGGATAAAAAAAAAGGTTTCATTTACTTTGGAAAAGGTTTCATTTAATTTGGAAAAGGTTTCATTTAATCTGGAAATGCTATATGTCAAATAAATCCCCCTATATAAGGTTAGCCCGGCAAAAAGTTCCATTGCATATGCGGTTTTATAGTACTTTTACAATGTACTGGATTTCGTTAATCCAGTGGGTTTAAGTTGTTTATTTCGTTGAATATATGCCAAACAAATACTTACAAATTAGTTTAAACGGCGTATAGGATTTATTTGAAAGGAGGATTTATTTGAAAAATTTTTATGAGAAGGAATTAATAATTTAGATCTACGGAATTTAATAAATCCCGTACAACCCGATAAAAATATCTAATGTAGATGCAGTTTATATCTCGGTAGGCTTTAGCAACTTATAAATTACATTTTTTTATATTGTGCTTGCTTGTTATGCCAAAGTCGTATACAAAATGTGGAATTGTGTATGAATTAGTCAACATTGGTAAGAAGAAATTTATTATCTATTGATGATTCAATAACTAAATCAAATTTAATTTAACATTATAGCCCACAACGTAGGGGTGTATTTTTCTCTTTTGACAAAACAGACCCTACCTTCTATAAAACAATATTTACATTAGAACTTTTTACCAGCTTAACCTACTTTGTGGGGATTAATTTGGCATATATTTAATGCAATTAACAATTAAAACCCACTGGAATAACGAAATCCAGTATTATGTAAACGTAAGTATACCATGAAATGTGCGATATATTTAACATTTGCGGCTACATACGTCAACATTTAGGTATTCGTACGTATAACGTATGGAACGTTTTTCGCTGGGTATGTTTTTCGTATTTTATCTGGAATATTTCAAACTGTCAAATATAATGTTTGAGGTTATGCTGTTAATATATGTCTTCTCGAAGCTTCAGTCAAAACATCGGAGTGTATTTGCGAAAACGAACTGAACATTGAAATGGCTAAGTGGGGTGAAGGTGATCCTCGCTGGATAGTTGAAGAACGTCCAGATGCTACTAACGTCAATAATTGGCACTGGACTGAAAAAAATGCCACACCTTGGTCAAAAGATCGATTTAATCAACTCTTCACCAATGTAAAGCTTGGTATGGTCATGTTTTTTTGTAATTTTTAATACAAAAAAAAAAAAAACTAATAATGATGTCAATTTTTAGAGGACTCCAACATTGAATGCATTATCGAATCCGTAGACAAATGTAGTGGCGAAGCAACGGCGAATAACCGTAAAGGAAAACTTATATTTTTTTACGAGTGGGAGCTAACTCTCAATTGGATTGGCTACTTTAAGAACAATCATCTTAAGAAACATAAAGGCAAAGCAACTATACCAAATCTATCTGAAGAGAATGATTTGGACGATTTGGAAATAACAATCACCATTGATGAATCAAATGAGGAGTCAGAAATTGTAAAACAGTTTATGTACAATAATGGTCGAAATAATATAAGGAAGCTATTAGGTGTCTACATAAAAGAGCTTAAAGAAGAATACTCTAAAAACCTGATTCTGCCTAACAAGAACTCAGAAAAGGTTCAACAAATAAATAATCAATCCAAAGGAAACAACATTTTTAATAATGGACCAATTCCTAACTCTTCTAAAGTTACAACTACTCTGGGCTGCAAATTAGATGTTAGGACGCTAACTATCGAAGAAGAATTTCAGTGCACTGCAAATGATCTCTACAATGCCCTTACTAAACCCGATATGGTAACATCATTTACAAGGGCTCCAGCAAAAGTCGAGGCATCAAGAGGCGGAGAGTAAGTAAACACACACCTCATTTATCCTTTTATGATTTAAATGGACCAGTCTTGAGATTTTTAGATTATTTATTATGTTGCGTTGGCAGGTTATTTGGGATACAATTTGTATTTTGGTTTTGTTGTGTTTAGGCGCTCATCCCCGCTTTTTCTAGATTTTTAGCACAGGTAGATCTCATCCCCTGATCACGATAATATGTGACATTCATGGGGGGAATCCATATTTCCCGAGATATGAGCATCTGAAGTTCCGGAATTCTTATGCTCATAAATAACACCTATGCTCACAACTAACACCTACCTGCGGCAAAACTTTCAGAATAATCCAAGATGAGCCCCTAAACTCAACTTGTTCCAAGATTTTGATAAACTACTCAGGTTGATTATAATATGTGGAAATATCTTAATATTATCCCAATGATATGTTTTACAGATGGAATAATGCCCATTTAATCGGATTTTTCCTGTCCGAAAGAAAAACTTTACATTCGGTCAAAATTTAAAGAAGTTGAGTCGTGCTTAGCTGTGTGATATAGACGTATACTAGTCAACATAACTCTATATCCATGGTCATTTAGTTCAGACTGATATATTTTCCGAAAAAATGTTTGTTGTTCTACCCAAACAACTGTTTTGCTATATCAAATGTCATTACATATTGATAATTCCTCCCATAATGCAAAAATATGATGGTTTTCTTTCTCGAAGCCTTTCGAAGTCAAAGGTGTCCTTCAAGCGAATTTCTATCTTTTGAGTTTTTATTTGTCAGTAGTCACACGGGCAAATTTTGTGGTAAAGTAAATTGAGTTTATTGGCGAAGGAGGTGAGAGGAATAAAAGGGGATACAGACATACTTGTACTCCGCAATTCTGTTTTGTTTCGTTATTCGTTGTAAAAAACTGAAGTTGGCTGCAGAAAAGTTTTGCATTTTCTTTCATTTTATTTTTTCTGTCGGCAAACAAACATCAAGGCAGTTATTAAAATTAAAACCTTTTGCAAGAAAAAAACTACATAACAGGTCTTCATTCTACGGCTATAGCTTCTTCGAGTAATTCAAAAGTTCCTTTTATAATTGAGTTTTTTTCTTTTAATTCCATTTTTTAATTTTCATGAACAATGGTCAAACGAGAAAATGAGTGTGTGGAAGAATAAGAAAATTCATAAATTTGATGCAAGGGTTATTTGCGTGTCTAAACAACAATGCAATTTTTAAAGAAATTGGAAGAAAATTTGTCATGAAATTTTGCACGTGTGACTACTGACTTTCCAAATTTGGTTTATTTTTATAAATTTTTATCGATCTCTAGTTATTCTAGCAATTTCTGGGCCATTCGCTTCTTTATTTTTTATACAAAGGCAGACTATCCCAATTTTAGGGTTGCAGTACTAATTGTTGCCAATTTATAAGCGTTTTCAATAAAAAAAACTACTTGAAAATATTTCAACGATTCGAGGGATAATCAAAACACTTTTTTTATTTTTATTTATTTATTCCAAAAATGCAATTTGAAGCCATTAAGGCCGATTTCAATTAAATTGAAAACTATACTACTCCATACTACTACTTTTCCCTTCAAATGTTTGCTAATTACGTGACCGGCACTGTATATATATATATATATATATATATATAAATATATGTTAAAGAAATTAAATTAAAATTAAATGAATAAGAATTTATTCGGACCAAAGAAAACAGTTCGCTATTCGCATAGTTCGTTATAAACGTATTCGATTAATCCAATCAACAAAATCAGGTTATGTAAACCAGTGTTCAACTTGGTCATATCCGGAAATTTATGTAATGTTTCATAGCAACCAGCGCGACATTTCATCCCCTAAATAATAACCGATCATTAACCAAAATAGTTGTAGTCGTCTTTGCCCAAATACGAATTACATACAAAATTTCGTTATAATGAAAAGGCGAACAAACATGTCTAGATCGATAGTCGATACCAATATTAAAGCCAAATTGGTAACTGAATAAATGACTGAATAAAAATAAGCTTCTAGTGAAAGTTTTTTTCAGAAATAATATAATAATAACAATTTTTTTACTTTGATTGATTGATGATTTATTGAGACATCATATATATTCTATTCATGGTGTTTAAACAAACATAATTATAACGAACACTTAAAAAACAAAAAAATTGAAACGGAAATCTATGAAAAACTAATTTGATCAAAATACTATTACTCCCATCCTGAAAACCAACACAACGGAAAAATACCAAAAATTTGGCAATTTCGTATTCCATATAATAGGAACTATTTTTTTATTTCAAATTGAATTTTGCATTTATGCCAATATTGGATATTTTGAAAGCTTTATGGGTCGATTGTGGAAAGCAACCAAACTCCAGTTGCGATTTCAACTGAAAACGCCACTGAAATAAAACTTAACATTATGAATGTCAACTTTTCTTAGTTGCCGTCGATAATACTGTTTTGACACTTGTGCAACTAGAAATATTGTAAACAAATAAAAAATTGAATAGAATATTACAGAAAAGCTAATTTTATGTGATGACAAGCTCAGTCGAACAAGTTTTTTATGATGAAAATGATGTGAAAGGCGTGCAAAAAATGCCGTTGTGTACTTATTTGAAGCACTAAACCCTGGTTTCCGAAAAGCCCCACGGTCACCAGCAATTCCTCATCTCTTAATAGTGTGTGCAGCTCTGAGGTCTTTTTTCGGAGGTAAGTTTTCAAAAGTCCCATGGCAATGACTTCAACCTTGGCATGGTTCAACCCACAATGTCGGTGGCTTTGACCGAAGTTGTCCGGCTAATAGAGGAAAAACAATGTAAAATTTGGTTTGTTTCCAAATTAAAAGAGGAGGAAAAAGGGAAAAATAACAACAGTGTTGCCATCCATAATTCAAATTTGGCAACTGGCAACGCAACTAAACTATGGTTACCATCCGTAATCGACCCATTAGTCTCAGGTTGGAATCTTATTGCTTGTAATTTGGAATTTTGGGTTTTATTGGGTAGTAAATGTTCCTACTATAAATGTTCAATATTGTTTTACTTTTTATGGTAGCCCCCTATTAAAGTGAGACATTGAAACCCAACTTTCTTGTTTGATTGTAGTTTCAACTCTAATTTATTTATGAAATATTCTGACTTAAGTACTACATAAACTAATCTAACTTAACCTATCTTAAACACATAACAACTATCAGTTCTCACAGTGCACATGGGGGTTGCGTTCATTTGTTTACATCAAATGAGCGCACCAATATCTTTGTGTGTGGACTTCTATTGATTCTTTATTATCAGCGCACACACAAAGATCTTGAGACTGCATTGGCCACTTATCATAAAACCACCGTCATCATAAAAAAACATCATTTATGAAATGTAGTGGTCTGTACCGTCATCGCTATCGTTATCGGTTGTTGTTTGCCTTTCACCACCTCCGGGTGGTGGCAAATTCAATAGAGCTGGTGGATGATGGGCTCTGAAGTCGTGGATTCCTGGCGCACGTTCACCATGTAAAATGTGAAGTATCATGAAGCCAGGTGGATCCCGTAAGTAGCTAGGTGGCCCAGATGGCTCATCTCGCTCACGCCAGTCCCATGGTCTACTACCAGTTGCTAATTTTTCGAGTACTTCCGGTACATCACGTTTGTCGCGTTCCCACCAGGCATCTCGGCCGTATTCAGGATTTCCGGAAACCTCATTTTGGACCTCTTCAGCATCAGAGGCATGCGACGATGGTTCTGGTTCATCATTGGGACATTCACGTCTGACATAATCAAGTGCACGTCCTTCTGGTTCCAAAAGCCATGGTTCATGACCGCCACCAACCTCTCCGTCCTTCCTCAATGAGGGCTGTCTCGTAAGCTCGTTCTCGATCATCTTCGGAATAAATGTCTCCGAGATCGGCACGCATGCGACTATCACTTGAGGGATATTCTGAGGGGCTCATTTCTAGGCGTCGTGCAATATATTCATGATCTTGTAAGTGTTCCTCACGTTCCAGAATCGCATTGTGTTCACTTTCTTCATTATATTCCTCTTCTTCGGTGTTGATTTTACGCTTGGCTAGCGGCATCTCTTATCCGTCATCTTCTTCGTGCTCGTTGTGGTTTTCTTGATGTTGTTGATGCTGGGACAACCAAATATTTTGATTGCCTTAATTTTCTTTAAGGACCATTGTTGTCGTATTACTTTTGAAATTCGAGTTTTCAACAACCTCTATTTCCATTCTTCCTCCAATGCGAGGATCTGCCGGCGGGATTATGGACGCGTCTTTGGTAGTATTATTTGTGATGGAAAATCCCATCATGTCCATAAACGGTTGCATTTCTTTCATCAATGTATCCAATTGCTCCTTAAGAGCCAGAATTTCCTCAGCAATTGATCTTGAAATTTTTTATAGTTTTTTTTTAGCTGCCTTTGTGGCTATTTCTTTTGATTTTCTTTTTGCCTTATTTGGCTTTTTTTATTTTTGCCTTCTTTGGCTTAAATAAAAACTAGTTTTTTATGATGAAAATGATGTGAAACGCGTGCAAAAAATGCCGTTGTGTACTTATTTGAAGCATTAAACCCTGGTTTCCGAAAAGCCCTACGGTCACCAGCAATTCCTCATCTCTTAATAGTGTGTGCAGCTCTAAGGTCTTTTTTCGGAGGGAAGTTTTCAAAAGTCCCATGGCAATGACTTCAACCTTGGCATGGTTCAACCCACAATGTCGGTGGCTTTGACCGAAGTTGTCCGGCTAATAGAGGAAAACAATGTAAAATTTGGTTTGTTTCCAAATTAAAAAAGGAGGAAAAAGGGAAAAATAACAATAGTTGCCATCCATAATTCAAATTTGGCAACTGGCAACGCAACTAAACTATGGTTACCATCCGTAATCGACCCATTAGTCTCAGGTTGAAATCTTATTGCTTGTAATTTGGAATTTTGGGTTCTTATTGAGTAGTAAATGTTCCTACTATAAATGTTCAATATTGTTTTATTTTTTATGATAGCCCCCTATTAAAGTGAGACATTGAAACCCAACTTTCTTGTTTGATTGTAGTTTCAACTCTAATTTATTTATGAAATATTCTGACTTAAGTACTACATAAACTAATCTAACTTAGCCTATCTCAAACACATAACAACTATCAGTTCTCACAGTGCACATGGGGGTTGCGTTCATTTGTTTACATCAAATGAGCGCACCAATATCTTTGTGTGTGGACTTCTATTGATTCTTTATTATCAGCGCACACACACAGATCTTGAGACTGCATTGGCCACTTATCATAAAACCACCGTCATCATAAAAAACCATCATTTATGAAATGTAGTGGTCTGTACCGTCATCGCTATCGTTATAGTTGTTGTTTGCCTTTCTTCTGTCCATGGCCTATAAATAAGATCACCAAGGCTGATTATCGATACCTCTCAAGTTTGCTGTCAAAATACATTATTGTGAATTGACTTCCATTATGAAAACGTAAACAAAGTCGAAATTTTTGACATTAGACTTGAGAAAAAACAGCTGTTTTCCGATTTCGATTGCTATCTTGGTGACCTTATTAATAGATCTTGCTTCTGCCTTTTCAACTATCTCCCCAGCTTTCGGTTTATCATATGTGGTTTTACTAGGTCGATCGGTTCCTGCAGCTTGTCCTATAAGGCTTGGATTTGTGGTACCTCTAGCAGCACTTTGGGCAGCAGCTTTTTCCGCTGCCATTGTCGTGTTGGGAGCAGCCAGATGAGCCTGTTGTTTTTTCAACATATTTGGAATAGTGTAGGTAATACGTTTATTGAGGAATTGGAAGCCACCACCTCCGGGTGGTGGCAAATTCAATAGAGCTGGTGGATGATGGGCTCTGAAGTCGTGGATTCCTGGCGCACGTTCACCATATAAAATGTGAAGTATCATGAAGCCAGGTGGATCCCGTAAGTAGCTAGGTGGCCCAGATGGCTCATATCGCTCACGCCACTCCCATGGTCTACTACAAGTTGCTAATTTTTCGAGTACTTCCGGTACATCACGTTTGTCGCGTTTCCACCAAGCATCTCGGCCGTATTCTGGATTTCCGGAAACCTCATTTTGGACCTCTTCAGCATCAGAGGCATGCGATGATGGTTCTGGTTCATCATTGGGACATTCACGTCTGACAAAGTGCACGTCCTTCTGGTTCCAAAAGCCATGGTTTATGACCGCCACCAACCTCTCCGTCCTTCCTCAATGAGGGCTGTCTCGTAAGCTCGTTCTCGATCATCTTCGGAATATATGTCTCCGAGATCGGCACGCATGCGACTATCACTTGAGGGATATTCTGAGGGGCTCATTTCTAGGCGTCGTGCAATATATTCATGATCTTGTAAGTGTTCCTCACGTTCCAGAATCGCATTGTGTTCACTTTCTTCATTACATCCCTCTTCTTCTGTTTTGATTTTACGCTTGGCTAGCGGTATCTCTTATCCGTCATCTTCTTCGTGCTCGTGGTGGTTTTCTTTATGTTGTTGATGCTGGGACAACCAAATATTTTGATTGCCTTAATTTTCTTTAAGGACCATTGTGGTCGTATTACTTTTGAAATTCGAGTTTTCAACAACCTCTATTTCCATTCTTCCTCCAATGTGAGGATCTGCCGGCGGGATTAAGGACGCGTCTTTGGTAGTATTATTTGTGATGGAAAATCCCATCATGTCCATAAACGGTTGCATTTCTTTCATCAATGTATCCAATTGCTCCTTAAGAGCCAGAATTTCCTCAGCAATTGATCTTGAAATTTTTTATAGTTTTTTTTTAGCTGCCTTTGTGGCTATTTCTTTTGATTTTCTTTTTGCCTTATTTGGCTTTTTTATTTTTGCCTTCTTTGGCTTTTTTTTATTTGAACGTTCCCACGCCTCACTTTCCCTCACTTGCAAAAATATAGGCAAAAATATGCAGAATATTCAAAAATAAGCAAAATATGCAAACTATAGGCAAAAATATGCTAAATATTCAAAATATGCAAAAATATACAAAATATGCAAAATATGCACGGTATGCTAGGTCGATATGCGATAAATATGCAAAAAATATGCACGGTATGCTAGGTCGCAATATTAAAGATATAACTTTGAAATTTTACACATATACTATTATTACTTCTAGGATGTTTGGTATTGGAAATGCATACTTTTGCCTATATTTTGTATATTTTTGCATATTCGTCATATTCGTCATATTTTTGCATATTTTTCATATTCTTGCATATTTTGAATTTTTTGCATATTTTTGCCTATTTTGCATATTCTGCATATTTTTGTATATTTTGCATATTCTGCATATTTTTGTATATTTTGCATATTTTTGCATATTCTGCATATTTTTGCATATTCTGCATATTTTTGCATATTCTTGCATAATTTGCATATCTTGGATATTTTTGCATATTTTTGCATATTTTGCATATTCCTGCATATTTTGCTTGTTTTGCATATTTTAGCATATTTTGCATATTTTTGCATATTCAGCAAATTTTTGCCTATATTTTGCATATTCTGCATATTTTTGCATATTTTTTGCATATTTTTGTCTATTTTGCATATTCTGCATATTTTTGAATATTTTGCATATTTGTACCTATATTTTGCATATTCTTGCATATTTTTTGTATATTTTTGCTTATTTTGCATATTTTTGCATATTCTGCATATTCTTGCATATTTTTGCATATCTTGTATATTTTTGCATATTTTGCATTCTTTTGCATATTTTTGTATATATTTTGCATATTTATCGCATATCGACTAGCTTACCATATTGAAAGTTTGTAATGAAAAAAATGGACGAAAAATACATTACATTAAAAGAGGAAAAATACTTTATATAAAAATAGGTTATTTTGCATGTATTTTTCATCAAGATGGAGCAAATATTATAAGAAAATAGAAAATTTGGGTTCCCTTACTATAGATATCAAACCCTTTTACCGTACTTTGGGGAGTAGGGGAGACTGAAAAAATCTATTTATGATGGCGTGTGTGGCCTTGAGATGTCAACGTTCGCCGCTAGAAAATATAGCATTGAAAGTCAAAATTTGAGACGCATATTAAAACAAAATAGAACATTTAGAGGACCTGAATTTCAAATACAGTGATAGCGGTGATAATTTGATGGGGCATTTGTGTCCCATCAAATGCTGAAGCTACCCCGGGTAGGGGCACATTCGGCGAATTTGATTATTGAAAAATTCAGTAAAATAAATAATTTAGCAACTAATTAGTAAATATAATTGAGATCAATTTATAAAATTATTTGTTTAAAGTTTATTACGCTGTCGTCAACAGAATCTTTAATGACAGTTTTGTCGAATAAGATTGTTATCTTATAAATTATTTCCGACACGACAACAACAACCGCAATAATGTCGATTTATACATTTTGACGATAAACCAATTCGATTTATTTTAATTAGCGAATAAAATTGTTATATTTTTATAGGTTTCATCTATACGGTGGCAATGTGCATGGTGTGTTTGACGAACTTATACCAGAGAAGAAGCTATCACTTAGGTGGCGGTTAAAATCTTGGCCATCAGGACATTATTCGAACGTTGTAATAGAATTGGAAGAAATGGTAAGTCATTATTATTATATTCGAGAATTTGTTTAATTTATTTAGCATTTGATATAATATAAGGAAAAATAATATATATAAGGAAAGATATAAGGAAAAATAATTTGTATTTTTTTATGATATAACCAACACTACTAAAGATTTTAAATCATTATACGGCCGATTAGAATATATATATATATATATAATATAACATGTAATACCAAATTTTCTCTACAAATAGGCGGACGCATAGGATTGTTTTTAAGAACACAACTTCTTATAGTTTTTATTACGATAAGAACATTTTAGTTTATATAATTTGTATATAATACAATGTATGTACAGACGAGCGTTGTTCACTTGCTCATACTTACTTTGACCCTTAATTATGAAGTTATTACTTAGTTACCAAAAAAATTTCTGAGCGGACACCTACTTTTGTACATTGTTCAATTCAAATCACTCTCTGAATAACAACGAAATTTGTCGCATACCTAACAATTGACAGTATTTATCGAAAATAATTCCATTTCATTTATTAGTTCACATCATTTATTAGTTCACAACAACGTCCAACTCCCTGTGATTTACTATTATTAAGAATAGCAAAACAATGCGTTTTTATTGTTTTCCTATTAAGAATAGCAAAACAATAAAAACGCATATCCTAATATTCACTCTTAACTCACGAAGAACGAAATTAGAACCTCACAACATTAAAAAACCTACAAGGCAGAAGAAAAAGAAAATTAATTATAAAAAAAGAAAACCTGACTAAATTTAACAATTCAGCAGAATAAACTTATTAATATAATTATGGCTCCCCAGCCATAGCATAGACAAAAAGGAATTAAATACAATGAACCAACAAATAGCAATACAAATATGGATATCTTTATCTACTGAGATGCTCAATGCAATGCAGAAGAAAAGAGTGGCCAGCAGCTCCAGGGACAATAAATTCCATAACCTTGAATCTCTCACAACAAACTACTTCTCACCTATAGATGAAATAAATTAATTTTGGCAGCATGAAAATATTTATAAAACTCAAAATTTTTCAGTAAAATTGAAAATGAAAAAATCTAGTTTTTATATATATGCAGACGGATGTAAATTTTTTATCTACCTAAAGCAATATGCACTTCTTTCCCCTTGGTTCTAATTATCGTACAAAAAAATGTGGGCAAAAAATTCTCCAATTTATTCTACAATAATAGGTTAGTTTAATATCCCAATAATTTGAAAGAATTTGTACAAATTGTTACTGAATGTTGCTTGATAACTTAAAGAATTTTGACAAATTGTTACTGAAGAATTTGTACAAATTTTTACTGAATGTTGCTTGATAACTTAAAAGTTCAGTAAATGAGAGTAAGTTGAGAGAGAAATATTGGCAGTTGTGTATTGAGTATTGAAAAATTATTACTGGTAATATTTACTCAGTAAGAATTTTCACGCTTATATTTTGTTGTCAAATATAACATAATTTTTTTAATCAATTCAATCATCTGAATATTTTAATGTTTTTTTGAGATATTAAGCAATGGCATGAAATATACCAAAATATTAAAATTTGTTATTTTATATTCGATTTCTTAACATCTTCAAATTTGATTTCTTACATGTTGTTGTTCGATAACATTTTCCAAGCATATGAGAGAACAAACTCTCTTAACATAAGTTAATGCGTAATTTTTACTCCGTGAGTTATCGGACAAAACTAATAACTGTAGGTAACCCAAGGTGTATTTATTAAGGTGTATGCATCAGATACAACAATACACATTTTACAAAAACAACATTGTTGTTATAGAAATTAAATTGTCATGCTGACAAATAGGTTTTGACAAAAGTAAATAAAAACAATTATACATTTCTTCAGGTCAAATACTTAATAAAGTAAGCCTTGGTTCCTTGAGGATTTTGCTTATATTTTAAATTACAATATAATTTTCGAAGAAGTGGCTTCTTGGTAGAAAAATTGTAGGACATAAATCCCCGGTCAAACACCACAAACCCGTATGCAATCTGTCAATAGACTACGCAACAGAATCTCATTTTAAATTGTAAAAAATTGTATTTAGTTAGGCATTTGTAGAAAACTAATGGATCAATTCTAATACAAGCTATATAACACCATTTCCTTGATTTTGAGGGAAACAGGGTATTTAGGGACAGATTTCCCTTTCCTTAACAATCTCCTTTTGGTATTAAATCGATCATAAGAACAAACATATATATATATATATTTGCAATCTGGAACCCAAGTTGTACTTGCGGCAAATATGTGGAACAAATCAGCGGCCGGATTTAGAACTGATTTAAGCTCACGCTTCCTTGTCGTCACTAAGGGCATTAATAAATATGCCGTCCCTATAAATTCATTATTATTGCACTTTTATTAATAAAAAAATAATCGAAAACAAAAGTCAATATTTTAAATCGAAATGAAACGTTGACAAATATTTTTGACAATTTACTTTACAAACAATAAAGAAAAATGTTTAAAACCATATGATTGTCACTTACACCTTATTAAATACACCTTGAGGTAACCTAATAACTACAAGGTAACTACAGTATCAGCTGATTTGATTCCAACGTAATACTCGTGTCAATTTGAATATGACAAATTATGTTTTTAAAAGTGACCCAGCAGGAAAAATCAGTACACATTGATTTTAAAATTATTCTTTATTAAATATAATTCCTTGTTCAATTTACTCCATTTGCCTACTGGGAAACACTAAATCTGTTTTCATAAAATAATTCCCAATATCTAGCATTTTCATATGTGTTATACCATAGACAGACGACAGCCTTAATTTGCATTAAAAAATTTTTAATTTGAATTAATATTTACCCCTTACAGACGAGAGTTTCTGCATTTACGAAACAGTTTTTTGCTTCAAAACAATTGTTTGTCTGTGTGTAGGATGAACATTTTTTACATTTGTTTCGATATTTTTCGGGATTACATCTTTAGGAAATAGATACATGACATAAAGGAGAAATAGCAACGATAATCTTAGCAAAACAGCTCCCAATTTAAAAAAATGGTTGAAATTTGCCTTCATTTCTTATTTTTATTTTCATAAATATAAATAAATTTGACAAGAAACAATTATTTTTCGACAGCATTGCCATATTGAAATTGCCTAATTCAGTATAAATTCAGTTTGATTTTGTGCATTAACAACACATAAAAATGAGGATAATGTACAAGTTAATTTGAATTAAGGCTGTTAATGCAAATTAAGGCTGTCGTCTGTCTAGGCTATTACACATACAACTGGCAATGGCACAATAGATGTCTGTAAATTTGAAAATTTTGCATTTTGAAAATAAATAGAATTTAAACACGACAGCTCTTCTGTTGGCCAAACGTTCCAGTTGTTGGCAGTAGATATCAGAATTTAGCGTTTGACCATATGGAAGCAACGCATAATAAGTAATCCCATTCCAGTCCCACCACCTTCCTGGCCGCTAGTCCTGGTTTGGCCACCGTCACCATCATCTCCAGTCACCATCCATTTAAGAAATGGATTTATCTCATTCCGTTTGGCCAAGGCTTCGCAGATGGAAATTCGATCCATCATATTTTTTCTGTTAATTGGTGTGGCACCCAAACATCGAGTTTCTTTTTGAATCCAGCTTTGTTTAAATGGTTTAAAACAGTTTTATGGTCGATTTTTAACTCCTGGGCGATGTTACGACTGCTGACATGCCGGTCAACTTCGATCATTTCTCCGATTTTAAGCTAAAACATTGATATTGTTAGCAGCTACAAAATAGCTTACAATGAAGACTTTGCACTGTGGCTGCTTAGCCAGGTTTTTAGCAAACATAACGCGACTAGTTTTCGAGTTCAGTGTAGATTCTTTGGTCAATGACAAAGATTAATACTTGCTAAAGATGTTTATTTAATATAATATAGTTTTTAGTATTATTATTGAGAGTTTTTGATTACGATTTGACAAGTTAAAATTTTAAAAACACGCAAAATGAAATGCTCTTTTCCTTATAAAATTTCCTTTTCTCTGTGTTGGCAACACACACATAAAAAACAACCCTCGACTAATTATTCGTCGGCAACGAAATATGAATATGTTATCGTACTGCCGATTAGTCATAAAAACGCTCGCATGTGAAATACGTGCTTGGCACAAAAGATTTGGAGTAGTTCATGTATTGTTGGTTATGATATAATTAAGTGATATACTGTTAAATTTAAACTTTTGGAGTAGTCAATGTAAAGAAGTTTTTGGAATTGCTCATGGCCCTTTAGGCTAGGTTCTTGTTTATGAAATAAATTGAAATTGAGGTACGAACTAAAAAAAAGTTGTTTAAACGTGTACTATGTAATAATTTTTTCTAAAAAAAGAATAATAAAAACAATAAAAAGCCAAATACTTTTTGTTAATAAAAATTGTTGGGTTGTTTTAGATTTTAGCCGATATCTTAAATAATTTTGAGTATGCAAATAATCACCCCTATTCCGTAAGTCGTCGTCGTTGTCGACATCACTTCGACATTGATTTAGTATTCTGCGACGATGTCGACTATTTATCAATAATATCAATAAAACAAAAAAACACATCTCTAAAATTGAAGTCAGCTGTTCATTTTGTTTGATATTTTTGTGCAAAAATGTGATTGTATCCTTCACCACACTGTGGCACATGGCATTATGTCCTGGTACATGTATTTGCAACATCCAAATGGAAACGAGATAGACCCATAGTTACTTTTTAGTATATACATTGAATTACTTTTTGAGTCCATTTATGCATGTCCCTCCGTCCATATATTATTTCAAAAAAGTTACAGTTCACCTTTATGATCCGAATGGGACGAAACTTTTGGCACAAGACGTGCCCAATTCATATTGGCCAGATTTATATATAGATCCCACCATATATTTTTATTTACACGAAAATTTCCAAAACTTATTGAGTAGAGTCGAGGATGACGTATCCTCTTCTTAGAGGACATATTTTTTTTAATTTCTTAAATAAAAATTGTTCAAACACTTCATTCGTCAACAAAAATAATGACGAAGAATCTTCGACATCGTCGTCGTCACACTTGTTACAGAATACCAAAAATGTTTCAATAGTTATCGGTAAATGTCGACAACAACATAGGGAATACCAATTTGCAAAAGACGACTCTCTTCGACGTCGTTTTGTGTCGACGACGACATACGAAATAGGGGTGAATATAATTATGACGAAATAAAAAAAAAACAACTGAGTTTACGACTCAAAATTTGATTTTTTGGACAAAAATCATTTTTTTTTTTTTTTTTGGAATAATAATTGAAGAGTTTGCCACACACTAGTCAATCACACACATATACAAAAGAGTTCATCGGCATAACGTCATGATGTATAGTCTTTGGGGCCCTTTAAGTTATCAAACAACATTCAGTAACAAATTGTTACAAATTATTGGGATATCAAACAAACCTAATGCTCAATTTAATTCCAATTAAGGCTGTCGTCTGTCTAGGCTATTATGTATTATTAATTGATTTTTTTTCTTTTTCAGAAAAATTGTACCCAAATGAAACTAAAGCAAACAGGAATTCCTGCGTCAGAATATGATACCATGAAGACGAACTGGAATCGATACTATTGGAATAGTATTAAACAAACATTTGGATTTGGCGTTCCATTGGCAGATGTATTATGAGTTGCATAAACAAAATTATGGTCATTCAACTGTATGGTTGAAATAATACTTAGAATAAATTTTAAATAAACATAACCCGATTTCAATATCGCAAATTAAAAAACATGTTCTTTAATGTAGTGTTGTTTAAAATCATCTCATTTTTGTGCTGTCTAATTAAATAGAGTGGCAATCAAAAGTGTATTCATGTTGGCAAATTCTTCCCTTTAACCCCTATAAATTATTTAATGAATGATATTGCAATACACCTTGTTTTCATTTCACGCTTTGTATCCTTCAGGAAGTTCAACCAAAGACCACGTATTATTGACTTTCAAGGAATTAATTTCTTCTTGCATTGCCTTTTTCCAATTTTCAGAATCCTCAGATGACATTGCCCGTTTTTACATTCTTAGAATCTGAAGAAACATACAGCCATACCTCTATAAAATCTAATGAATGAGATTGCAATACACCTTGTTTTCATTTATCGCTTTGTATCCTTCAGGAAGTTCAACCAAACACCACGCATTATTGACTTTCAAGGAATTAATTTTTTCTTGCATTGCCTTTTTCCAATTTTCAGAATCCTCAGATGACATTGCCCGTTTTTATATTCTAAGAATCTGAAGAAACATACAGCCTTATTCTGGATATTCGCTAGGGAGATACAGTATTTTTCGCTTAATTGACCCTACAGTTAATTGGTTTCCACGCTTAATTGAACCACTTGATGGGGCAAAAAATATTTCATAGGAAAATACATGTAACCTTGTTAATTGATTTTCCCGCTTAATTGGTTCAAAATTCATGTTATCAAAAATAAATTTCCTTTTACTTTTCACCGGTTAATTGCATAATAATAATTGACAAATAATCTGTCATTTTTTACATACATATTTGACATAACAGTCTTGATTGGGCAATCGCCGTGCGAACATCGTTTTTCTGCAGTGTTTGGCTTACCGCTAATCGGAGACTAGTTGTACAAAAAAAAAAAAAAAAAAAAACAATACCCCGCGTGTTTGTGTACAATACCGTTCGTTTTCTTTACTCTTTTTCTTACACGTGTTTAATTAATAAACAACTACTAAAAGAGTTTTTGATAGTAAATTAAACATGAACGGGGTTCACCCCCCAAATTATAATCAGTTCAGTGTTCTATCACTGGACCCACCCATTGACAAAAAAAAAGGAGAAAATACAACGAGCGCACTCAACATGAATTGGAAATCACACCAACAATTTCACCTGATATACCTAATCATGATCATCTGCCAAGATACCTTGTAGCAACAGCTCTTCATAATGAAAAATCAACGGAGCCAAAACCACTTGGATCCTATAATATTTTTCAAATTAGCAGGGGCTTAGACTATATTTGTAAAGAGTATAGCGAAGTCACGGAATTAAAAAGTCGAGACTTGTTAATTAAGGCAAATAACTTAAAAGCCGCCGAAAAATTCATTGCAGCCAAATATATTGATATCGTGAACGTTAAAGTGTCCCTTCACAACAGTCTCAACTGCTCTTATGGAAAAATATACTACGAAAAAATTGTGAATTATACGGAAGAAGAGCAAACAAGTGAAATAAATTTGAAATATCCAGGACTTATTGCGAATTTAAAGAAAATCAAAAAAAAAATTGACAATGGTAAAGAAGTAGACACCGGATCAGCTGTAATAACATTCAACAAAATCCACCGTCCTTCACGCCTTAAAATTGGATACAACTTATGCACTGTTCACGAATATATCCCAAATCCACTAAAATGCAAAAATTGCCAAAAACATGGTCATACCAAGAATTACTGTAAACGCAATACTCTATGTGATGAATGTGCCCCTCCACCACCTCACGACATTTGTAACAGGAAATATTGTGTCAGTTGCGAAACTGATACACACACTTCCAAAGATCCAAAATGTCCTAGATTCCTGAAACACAAATCCGTCAATAAAATAAAGATTGATAATCGGTTCCAGAAGCATGGAAGATTTTCAATTCTAACCCCGAATCTCACCTAATCATTCACGGATCAAAAAAACCTACTTTCGCACAAATTGTTAGCAACAATAATACAGCCCCAGGACCATCAAACACCATTTATGCAACACATCCCAATTCATCATCTCCTTCATCTGAAAACCCGACACCTTTCATCGCATCTTCACCAAGAAATGAAACATTTTCAAAAGATCAAATCTCTCAGCCCAACATCCAACCATCACAGAAACAACCATTACAAAACTCCCAATATCAAAAAATTCTGAAAACACCCCAACGAACAACACTACATCACACATCATCCGAAACACAACAACCAATGAAATAGATATGCAAATAGACATGGAATCCCCACAATGCACAACAACACCCAAACGCCCTACCTCACAATCAACCGAACTTTCACCATGTAGCCAAATATACAAAAAATTTCCAGAATTGAATGTATCGCAGTATCGCATATTAAATCATCACAATTGACTCAGGTATTACTTTAACAATAACAAACGTTTATAAAGAGCATGATATAAATATAAATCGAGATACGATCAATCAAATTTACCACTCCAACGGCAGTCATCAAAACCATCATTTGATAGTTGGAGACTTAAATGCACATAGCACCATTTGGGGATCCTCTATAGATTCCCCTACAGGTACCCTCTGGACTGAGTTCGCTGAGGACAAAGGTTTTGTTTTTTTAAATTACGGCTCTCCCACACTGCTTAGTACGCGAAATACTTTTACAACCATAGACGTATCGATGGTCAGCTCTGATATCGCTCCCCTTTTAACATGGTCCCGTTTGGACATGCCGGGCGTAGGAGATCATTATCCCATACTTATTTCAAGCGAAAATATTTCACATGAGAAACAACATATCCCCAAATTTATTATTAAAAATTAATTGTATTTAATAGTTCCTTTCAGGAATCTCTTGATGTTAACAGAGAAGCAGCCCAAATTGGATGGCTTTTCCGGAAAGCAGCTAACGAATCTATTCCAATAAGTAAAAACATTTCTAAACAAAATGTTCCCATATGGTTTAACAGCACCATCTCCAAATTAATTTACAATAGAAGCAAATACTGGAAAAAATTTAAAAGAAGGCGTTCTCAAGAGAATAACTTAAATTAAAGAAGGGCCTGCGCAATGGTGAGAAGAGAATGTAAGTTAGCAAAGAAACGAGTATGGGCTAATTTCCTTAACTCATTAAATCCCTTTCTGGATGTCAGAGTTCTTTGGAATAGGGTAGGTAATTTAGGAACTTCTAAGCTTAATAATTTTCCATCCATTACAACACCTGGAAACACATTAAGTTCGGATGACTCTTTCAATCCAAATGTAATTTCTTTGACATACCATGTGGGATAACATACCGTTATCCCACATGTGAAAATAGAAATATTACACGTTTGTAGACAAAGGCGTTGCCGAGAGACATCTATTTCCCTTCAAAATTGTACCATTTCCCTTTCCTCAAAAATTAAAATTCTTGGACTTTTTTTTACAAAAAAAATATGTTATGGAGCGAACACGTTGCCCACATTGTATCGAAATTTGGTAAAATAAATAATCTACTCAGACTAATATGTTCAAAGAAAAAAGGACCGCATATAGACACGGCTTTATCTATATGTAGATCCCTAGTCATAGGCACATTATCCCATTTAATTACTGTTTATGGTTGGACAAGCAAAACAAACGTTAAAAAAATCGACACATCGATTAATAAATGTTACAGAACTGCTACTGGGCTATTGAGAGCAACACCTATTGAATCCTTAAGAATTGAAGGCCGTTTCATAAACTTCAATGAACTCCTAGAGAAATATTCAATTAGCTTAGCATCGAAATCAATAACCTTAAAAAGCGATGGTTTAAATAAAAATTTCTGGAAACGAATCCAAGAAGCAAATCGATATCCCACTGCTATAGGAAATATTTTTAAGATTATAACAAATTACAATATAGTAATTCCAGAACAACCACGTTCCATTCCTAATTATAACTTACCCTTAATCGAGTTAAGCCTTAGCATTTACAATAAAGACAAATCCAACCCATCTGTATTCCAAACTCTCATGGCTGTTAATATCTCTGATTACGGCCCTCAGACGATTTTGTATACCGATGGTTCTTATAATGGTATTAATACTGCTTTTTCTGTAGTAAAACAAGCATCGACATCAATTTGCCAAACAATATGCAAACGCAGATTGCCAGACAGAGTCGGCATTTTCTCCGCGGAACTAGCAGCTGTCATTGAAGCTATGACACACTCCTCAGATCTCTCTGGAAGGACACTTATCTGTACTGACAATCTCAGTGTAATCAAAGCACTAAATCAAAACCACAGGGGTTTATTCGAATTCGCTTTACTCAACATACGTGTTGAAAACATGAAAATTATGTGGATTTCATCCCATATTGGAATCAATGGGAACGAACAGGCTGATGAGTCAGCCAAACAAGCCCTACTGCTATCTGAAATTTCAAAGCCACCTTGTTTTCCCATGGCTATTAAAGCCCAAAACAATTGTATAAGAAAAAGCATAAATTTGGAAAATTGGAATCAAAGCGTCTTTTCTTAGATTTATTAATCCCTCCCCAACCAGACCTGACTACCACAGATCACTTTCTAGAGCAAATTGCATAACGTTAGCCCGGCACAGAGTAAACAAAACAATATTTAATACTAAACACTATTATGAAAACTGCGAACCTGCACAATGTAATTTTTGTAATACTATAACTTCAGTTCGCCATATCCTATGTGAATGTAATACCTCAAAGATTAACGAACCCCTTCATAAAATCCTCGACTGCTCAAGGATGGACATGATTCCCAAAATTCGTGACTCAATTGCAAAACATAAAAACCTTAAAATTTGAAACCTATAAATTTAAATCTAACCTTTGTAAATATTATATGTAAATACTAGACTATGTTAAAAATGAAATATTAAATCTATCCTAGTATATATGAATACATGAATATATATATATATATATAT